CAGGGATGGGAGCAGGCTGGCTGTGTCCTGGCAGCAGTGGAAGGCATCAGTGACTCTGGGCTTGCCAATGACAGTGCAGTGCAGGCAGGGTTTTGCCAGGAATGTTGGGCTGCATGGAAGGGTGGGGGCTGCTCTCCCTGGCAAGGTGGGGCCCAGCTCAGCACAGCTAAGGGATCACCAAGCCATGGGCATCTGGAAAACATTCTCAGGGCAGTGAGAAGAGGCTGGTGCTGCTCTCTGCGGCCTGTCCCCAGCCAAGCTCTGAGCCAGCCGCAAATCATCATGGATTTCTCCTCCTGGAGCCAGCGCCAGGGGCAGACATTCTGCCTGGAAGCTGGACTCAGACTGGAACCAGAATCCATTTGGACCAGTTCCCCTGGGAACTGGGCAGTCAGAGGAAGCAGCCACATGCCTGCTGCCGGGAGCTGCTTTGCTTTGCTGTGTGTTTTGTGGAAAGAGCAGGTTTGGTTTCATCATGTTCCTTTTTCTTCCTTGCAGCCCTTTTCTGTATGCAGCCAGAAACCCTCCCTGCCTGCTGGCAGCTGCACAGGAAGCTTCAGGGATGTTTATAAGGTTTTTTTCTCTCTTCTCCTTTCATGTGGCTGCTGGGGCCTGTTGTTAAGATAAATCAGACTTCAAACCACGGTCTCCATGTTCTCAGGCTGTGGATCTTTAACTGCTGCTTCAGAGGGGGTGTTTCAGGGTCAGGGGAAAAAGGTGGGTCTGTCTCTCCCTGATTTCCAAGTGCCCTCTCCCTAGCACTGTGCCCACCATCATGGCAACGTGGTCTGTGCTCCATCACCCAGCCAAGTCAGAGAGCCCCCAGGGACCAAGACCAAAGAGGTCTGGAGTGGCCAAATATTGATAGGGGCTCTGGCCAGTGGACCCCATCCTTGGAGGGGGCCCTGCCCTGCCTGGTTGTTGATGAAAGGCTGCTTTCTTCAGGCTTTGGGATGTTGGGAGCATCCCCTCCCCCAGGCAGGCATTTGTGGAGGGGATCTGTCAGGAGCATCTCAAGGTGAGGTGTTTCATTATCGATGCTAATACATACAGCACGGGGAGAGCCTTGCCGAGGGCCCGGCCCCTCCCTTGTGCTGAGTAACATCTTCACTCCCTGGATTTCATCTAGGAATCCAAGCTTACCTCAGCCTCGGGTTGTGCTGATCCCTCTGGCCACCCTGCAAGGCGGGATTTGGAAGTTAGCTGTGTTTCCTGGGATCAAACACGCTCCCCCTCTCAGGGTGCCACGGCGTGCTGACCACGGGCCAGGCTCCAGCCAGTAGCAAGCAGCGCAGCAAGCTGAGCCTAGGGGCTGAGCCAGAGCCTGANATGGCGCTGAACTCCACAGTGGGGTCCTGGCCCCGCACCCGGCCCCCAACCCATCCTGCTCTCCACAGCCCTGAGGGACAGCGGCTGAGAGCCCTGCCTTGCCTGGTCCCCTTGTGTGTGAATTATTTATGGCTTTTCACAGCCTGTCGGCCCCAGCGAGTCACCACCGTCTGTCTCCCCTTCCTCGCTGCTTCCCAGCACGGTCCCGCTGCTGGCAGCTGGGCCCTTGGAGCATCAGGTGACCTCTCTGTCATCCCAGAAAGCAATAAAGGGCACTCAAAGCGCGGGGCGATTAGCTCAGGTTTCCTTTGGTGCAGCTGGTGGCTCATCTGTAGCTCAGCGTCCAGGACCTGCCATCCCCAGGGACTGGAGCCAATTGTGGTCCCGGCAGCTCAGCTCACCCTCAGCCAGCCCTGGTGCCCCCCGGTGTGTGTCAGACAGGGGCTGGTCCCGGGAAGGCTCTGGCAGGGGACCATATCCATCTGCTGCCCTGAATGACCCTGCCTGCAGGAAGGGAAATATATTGCCCCTCAAAATGCTTTTTATCCCTTTCTTTCTGCCCCACCCAGTCATGAGCAAAAAGAGCTGGAAAAATGGGGTGTGGGAGATGCAGGGAGACCCAGCACTGATGATGAGAACTGGCAGATCCTCACCGTGCGCACTCTGCAATGGGAAAGGCGCCCCAGGAGCCCACCCAGGGCTGGTGGGTAACAGGGGACACAGGTTCTCATGTCACTTGTCCCTGCTCTGGACAGAGCCCTGAAACAGCATCTCAAGGTCCTGAATGCCACCCTGTCCCTAGCTGTCCATCTCTGCCACCCAGGCTTTGCTGCTTACCTGGTAATGGTGGGGGGACCTCTGATCTGTTTTAGATCAGTGCTTTGAGAGGAGAGAGCTCCAAACCTGCCTGAAGCAGCAAACAGGGGCCGGGGAGAGGAGGAGCCCCAGCACTTGGCGACCCTGGCACATGCACTTCATTAAATTTGATAAGGAGCTCCCCAAAGGTGGTGACCCCAGTGCTGCAGCTCCTCTGGGCCACCAGAAATGAGGGCCACAGGGAACAGGGATGGAGGGAACGAGGCAGCAGCTGGCTGGTGGTCATCACACTACTGTGGGCAAATAATCCTTTAAGGGAGATTACCCAGATCGGAAGATTACTGGCTCTAATCCCATAAGGTCATTTGTTTCAGTTAACTGAGATCCCTGTCTGTGGCAGCATCAAATGAAGTGCAGCAGCTTCAGGGAGCAGTGAGAGCCAGTGCTGGGGCACACACGGGCACTCCAGGCTGGGAATGATCCACACTCGGGTTAGATTCCTTCCTGCCATCAACTAGAAAATGTACTGGGATTGGGGCTGGATGCCAGTGCTGGGAAATGCTCATTTGTCAGTGGGAGCAGCTGGCTGGAGATCTGAAAAAGCAGGAAGGAGGGAGGGAGGGAGGGCTTTCAGAGTCTGGGCAGGAGGGATGGGGATGGGGATGGGGATGGGGATGGGGATGGGGATGGGNCATGTCCCCAACTCCATGGGGTCTCCAATATCCTGTGGGGTGTAGATCCTGACCTGAGGGGGCCCCTCGTGGGTGGGCACGAACCTTACACCCCTGGTTTGGAGCTGGGTCCCCAGCTGAGGCCAGGATGGCTGCACCCCATCCTCCCCCCCATCCCCACAGGAACTGCTTCATCTCATTGGGTTTGTTTTCACCTGAATGGTGACATTTGTGTGACATTTTCTACCTCCGCTGGGGCCGGGGGTGGCAGGGCCTGGCTGGCACCACTGAGGGGTTTGTGCGGGGCCGCCGGCGTTCCCCGGATTCCCCAAAGTGGGATTCACCCCCAGCCGTTCTCCCCTCCTGGGCTGGCATCCCTTCCCAGCCAGGAGCATTTCCATTCACTCCTTCATCAGCATCACCCCCTTCCAGCTCTGCAGTATAAACCTGAGCTGGGACCCTCCGTCCCTCCCCTGACCTCACCCTGTGTCCCCCCTGCCTGTCCCCAGACCGTGCCCCACCTGCCCTGGCTGCTCCTGCCTCCCCAGAGGAGTGGGGCTGCTCGGGCTCTGGGTTTGAATGTGTCCCTGGTCCTGCCCAGATCCACCGGCCCCCACCGAGGGGCTGTGCTGAATGTACCCTGTGCCCCCCGGCTGGGACTGTCCTGGGGGGCTCTGTGTGTGTGTGTGTGTGCGTGTGTGTGTGTGTGCGTGTGCAGGGGCTGGCAGGGGTTTGCAGGGCAGGGGAGCTGTTGGACACCCCAACCTTGTGCTGCCCACCTTGCCCCCCACACCCACAGCCCCTGTGCCTTCCCTGCATCCCCTGTGCCCTTGCCATGGCTCCAAAGGGTTCTGGCCTCTGTCTGCCCCGAGCCACAGTGCCAAGCCCTGCCTGGGCAGGGGAGTATGGGCAGCACTGAGAGCCCCTCTGTGCCATAGGGCACCGTGTGAGGCACTGGAGGAGTGGGATGGGAGAGCTGCACCTGGGAGCTGTGGGGATGTGGGGTCCTTGAGGGACAGTGTGGGTGCCCAGCCCTGTGACATGGCCAGGCTGGGAGGGATGTGGTGGCACTGGGGTGGCATCACGTTGCTTTTATTTCCCATTTTTTGGTAGCTGGGGTGACAGCAGGCTGGGCTAGCCATCGCTGGGTTGACTGGTGCTAACTGGTGCTAACTGGAAGCCTTGGAAACCCTTTGGAGGAGGGTGCAGAGCATGGCTGGGGCTGGGCAGTGGGCTGGGCCCCTGTCACCTGCACTGCTCCTTCAATGCCACNAGCTGGGGCAGGTGTGGCTGTGTGGGAGGTATGGGAGAACGGGGGACATGGGGGTGTCAGGGTGATAGGGGTGCTGAGGGGATGGGGATGCTTTTGGGCTTGACGCACCTGCTGCAGCTGGGGCAGGTCTGGAGGTACGAGGGTGCCTGGGGGTGAGGGTACAGGGGGCTGGGATGGGGCTGCTGCAGGGCCTGATGCTCCTGCTAAAGCTTGGGCAGGGCTGGAGGTACATGGGGAGGGGGCACATGGGGGTCATGGAGCCAGGCGGGGCCTGGAGGGAGCGGCACAGTGCAGCAGGGACATGGGTGGGGATAACAGCATGGAGACTCCAGGAGGGGTTGGCAAGGCATGGGGAAATGGGTGGGGATGGAGAGGTGAAAGCAGGAGCCCAGGCAGCTGGGGAGGCACAGGGATCAATGTCTCTGCAGCCCCAGAAAGATGGATGATGGAGAAGAGCTCTCAGCCATGGGCACAGGGGGTGTGGGTAGCAGCTGTGGGTGTGGGTGAGGAGCCGCAGCCCAGCTCGGTGCCACAGCCCTGCCAGCCCTGCTGCCAGGTGGTGCTGGGCCTGTTGGGGACTTGCCTGGCCATGGCAGTGTGGTCCTGGGGATGTGAAGTGACTATGCTGGGCCCTGAACGCCTCAGGGCTCCTGTCCTGATCTCACTGGATGTGTGGGGTGGTGGGCAAGAAGGTGCTGGTGCTCCCCAGCCTGTCCAGGCTCTGCTGCTGCCCCATCCCTGTCCTGGGGACAAGCTGGTGGTGTGGGCAGGGCAAGCAGCAGACAGACATGCTGGGGGAGCTCAAGGCCCTTTACCCACCTCTCTGCAGACCCCCCAGCTGCACAAGGTGATGTTTTCTTGGCACCTTTCCCTGCTGTGCCACGGGCCAAGCCCTGCGCCCTCCCAGCTCCAAACCCCACTCTGGGCCAGGCACCAGCGGCTCTGGAGGAGCCAGGGCCGGGAGGACAGACAAAGGCAATGCCCAGAACAATGCCTGGAGCCAGCAGCACTCCCTGCTCGGGTTTCCATCCTGTTTCCCCTCCCGAGTGCTGTGGTAGAGGCTCTTTGCTTGTTCCCTGTTGGTGTCTGCATGTTCATTCCCCTACTCCTCCTTCTGGGATGCTCTGGATGTTTAACTTTGTTTGACAGAGCAGCGTGTGCCATGCTCAGCACACCTGCCAGCACACCTGCCCTCCCCATCCCCCTGACAACGGGGCCACTCTCAGGGTACTCTGGCTGCAGGGTGGGTGCAAAACCTGCTTTGGTGTATGAGGGAGAGGACAGGAGCTCTCTGGCCCTGCCTGCAACTGGAGTGAGCCTGACACACCTGATCCCAGCCCAAGCTGGAGCTGAGCAGCAGCCGGGGGCTTTGCTCCTGGGGGTGTCAGTCCCGCTCTCGGATCGGCTGAGCCATGGAGACTCCTAAGCCAATTAAAGCGGTAACTCTCAGCACTCACCCTCCAGGACATGTTGGTCTCAAGCAGCAGCTGAGGCTCTTTCTAATCTCTGGATTTGGGATTAGTTGGGGTGACCAGTTAAATGCAGTTTGTTAAACCCATTAGTGGGGTTGGATCCGGTGCAGGAGGATGTGGCAGTTAAAGAAGTCTTGGATAAATGCTGCAGGTGAAAGAAAGGATTTTCCCTGGTCAGGGCACTGTGCCCCTTGCCAAACATCTCCCCCTTCCTGATTTACCTGCCTCATCCCTCACCTCTGGAGATGTCACCTCTCCCAACCTCACTGCACAGTCCTGAGCCCCACCTGTGATAAAGACCCCCAATCCCCCAAAAAAAAGCTGCTTCCCACCTGCAAAAGCAGCTCTGGGCACTGGCTCTGTGGTTATTCCTGATTAAATCTGTTGAAGTTAGCAGTCATTGGTATGTTCATGGTGCACATGCACAAGCTCCATCACAGTGGTCTCTGGAGATGCTGCTGGTGGCATGACCATGTGTCCGTGTAAGCAGCAGCAGCAAGGGCCTGTCCCCAGCTGGTCCCACACCACCACTGTGCTTGTGGGCCATGCTTGGATGGTTTTGCAGCTCAGGAATTGTTATCCACTCACAAAGTCCCCAGCTTCCTCTCCAAAGCAGCTCTGCAGGGCAGGGATGCTGCTCATGCCAGTGTGCCTCCTGCCTGCAAGTGTGCCAGGGTCCCCTGCCCCCTCTGTGGGCTGGCAGCTGGCCAGGGTGTGCTGCAGGTCCCACCGGGCTGGGGACAGTCCTATCAGTGCCTGTGTCTGTGTTAGCCCAGGGTCACACATGGTTTGGCTGCCTGAGGTCACTGGGGCCAGACCTGAAAGCCCCCATCAGCCTGTGTACCCCCATCCTCTGCTGGCTCGGGGACCCAGTGCCACCCCTCAGCCCTTGTGCCAGTCTGGTAGCAGCCCAGGAGGGCAAGGTCATCCTGGGTGGGCTCATGAGGGGTGGCAGAGCTGGGACCTGCAGGTTTCCCCACCACTCTGCTCCCTAGAGCTTTGCACTGTCTGTGTTGGGGCAGGAGCCCCCCAGGCCTTGGGGGCCCCAGCTTTGAGGTGTCAGCTTGTTCTGCTGCAGGACCCAGTGCTGGCAGTCCCCACCTGGCCCTGGTGCAAAGGACAAGGGGCTTTTAGGGCCAGACAAAGCCTTTCCCTGAGCACAGGTGCCCTCAGGTACTCCCATCTGCCCTGAGTAGCAAGAGCACCTTGGGGTGTGGGGCTGGGGGGACACGGTGGCTGCGGTGACATGGGCACATGTGCAGTTCTCCCTCATGACCTGACTTGGTAGGATGTGTAAGGGATTAAAATGGCTGTAACAGAGAAGCAATTTTCTCCTTGTTTAAATACAGGATTAAGGGATGAGATCCCAAATTATCTTCTAGGAAAATCACACTTCCTTCTGCTCACTCTGGGACCAGAGGGTCCCTCATCCTTTTCCATCTGAGGATGATGATTAGGGGATTTGTTTGCAACCAGAGCTGGGCTTTTCTCTTCATTCATTTTTCCCCACATTTGAGAGCTGGGCTCAGTAGTTGGGAGTTGGGGGCAAAAGTGACACTGGTGACAATCCAGCTGTAGTGGGGCTCTGACAAAACCAGTGCCCAACCAAGCCACCACCTTCCTGCTGCAGGGTTTTTGTTGGATCACTCTTTGCAATACAAAGGAGGGAGCAATTAGCCCTGAGAGCTCTCGCTGTCGGTTTCTGCCTCATCATCAGTTTTTTTGAAAATTAAATGATTTTTTTTCAAGTGATTGATTCTGTGTTTCCCGTGCAGCTGCCGTGGCGCGGGGCTGGGGAGCGCCCGCCGCGCTGGCAGCACCGGGATCGCTCGCTGGGCTGAAACACCACGGCATGATCAAATGCAGAACAAATAAGAATCAACATTTCATTCGGGAGACTTGATGGGAGATGAAATCTCATTTTAATGAGACCTATGGAGCTGGCAGACAGAGGGATAATTGTGCCCTTGCTGAAAGCTGGGGAGGCCACGGGTCACTTGTTGAACAGTGCAGGACCCAGGGCTGGGGTTCTGTATTGTGTGTGGGGGCTGCTCTGTGCCATGGACAGTGGAATCACTGATGAGCCCAATTATCAAGACAAATTACAGGGACAGGATGAGGTCACCAGCTCCCAAGCCTGGTTCATGCATGGGCACCCTGGGACAGCAGTGATGCCCTACAGCAACCAGGGCTTTACATTGCTTCCCGTGTTGTCTCCCCCTATGCTGTGCCTTCACCCCTGGCTGCCCACTGGTTTGCTCCCCACCAGAGAGGAGGGTCCCTCACCGGGCCCTTCTGAGGGGCTGTGGCCCTGGTGGTGCCACAGGGGCAGCGCTGGCCTGGCTGCCTGAGCAGGTGGCACTGGGATGCAGATCTGTGCCAGGGGCCAGGAGCCAGGTGGCCACAGCCTCTCCCCACCCCAAGCAGCGAGGGACAGGCTGCAGCAAAGGCTAAAATTAGGTGCTGCCCCGGAGGTGGAGGTTAAAACGTCACTTTGACACCAACACCGACAGCCGGTGGGGGCTGGGAGTGGGGCTGGCAGGGCAGACCAGATGGCAGCAGGGTGTCCTGGGGGCTCGGTGGCCCCAGCTGATGGCCCTCAGTGTGCTCTTCGGGCTGTGCAGCCCCGGGGTGGGAGCACTCTGCTGTCCCTGCAGCGGGAGCAGGGCTGGCTGCTGCCTCCTCCTGCTGACGGATGAGCTGAAAGTGCTGCGATCAGGCTTTCTCCCATGCTCTGGGCTGATGGAGTTGTCTGGCAGCACATTCTGGAGCTGATGGAGAAGCCGTTGCTCTGCCAGAGGATTTTATTCTCTGGGAGGAATCTGTGGCCTGATGTCCTCCTGCCGCACCTGTTTTCCTCCTCACCCGGCTTCCTTCTCCTCCTGGCCAGCAGAGCCCTGGCCGTGGTGCAGGCAGGACTGCCCGGGGAAGCCCTGCCTGG